GGCTCTTCCGATGCTCCTGTGACTGTCCTCTCCCCCAGGCCTCTGCCTAGTTTGATGCCAGCCCTGGCCAACGTACGTGTGAAGCACTCGTAAGAATGCCTTTTGACCATGTGCAGAGTGTGTGCCCCTCACCAATCCCAAAGCACAGCCAGCTGACACCGAGGTGAGTTTTAAGGCATTGGGGGGGGGGGGGTCACATACCACTGGCGTTTCTGTTCTTCTGTTTGTCCACGACAGCCTCATTGGAGAGCTCATCCGGACCCTCAACACCCGTCCGATCCCCCTCTTCTTTTGCCTGCACGCTGTCTACCACATTTGGTTGTCTAGAGCCACCATTTCTGGCATGGCTCAAATGGGGATGTGTTTGGTACAAGCCCCTGCTTGCTTTTGTGCCATATGCCAAGTGTGCCAGGCCCAGGGGCTTGGGGATTCTCCCTCATCACATGCTGACGGGTTAATTTCAGAAGCCAGAGAGGAACAGCTGGGTCAAGTCTCCTCTGGTTGGGAGTCAGAGGAGAGGGGGCCTGTAGCCTGCAGACCAGTATTCCCCCTAAGCTGAGTGAGCGTGAGCCAGCTCACAGTTTTTTAGCCTCTGGTGCACACATTTTTGTCCTGGCTCAGGAAGGGATGGGGCTCCAGCGCAAGCTGATCTTACGCCGCAGCCAAGTCGCTCGCTCACAACTTTAAGGCCAGGAGCTCGCAAAGTAGGATTTCGGCTCACCAGACTCCACAGTGTAGAGGGAGGCGTTGGGCTGCAGACTGACGACGTGGACAGACCCCGAGTGAGAAGCAGGCCCCACCCAGGGTGCCCCAGCCTAGCCCAGTCTCCTCGGATCTCGGAAGCTAAGCAAGGTGGGCCCCGGTTGTTAGTGCTTGGGTGGGAGACCACCAAGGAAGCTCCCTCTAAGCCGTGGAGTCTTGTGAGCTCCGGGCATTAAAGTTGTGAGCAGGTGATTTGGCTGCCGCATCAATTCGTTCTGAGCCGATGTGTGAGCCAGAGGCTAAAAGAACTGAGCTAGCTCACATTGACTCAGCTTAGAGGGAACACTGGTGGCTACGCAGAGGCAGGCCATGGCGAACCCACCTCTGTTGATCTCTTGCATCCAGGACACTGTGAGGGGGTCGATCATACGCTTGTTGCCCCCTGGCAGTCCTTTCCACCCCCACCCCCCACCATCAGTGAGAAGAAGAAGAGGAGGAGATTGGATTTATACCCTCTGGCCCTTCACTACCCAGAGGAGTCTCAGAGCAGCTTACAAACTCCTTTCCCTCCCCAGAACAGACACCCTGTGAGGTAGGCGGGGCTGAGAGAGCTCTTGACAGAAACCGCCCTTTCTCAAGAACAACTCTTATCAGAGCTATGGCCTGCCCAAGGTCCTCCAGCAGCTGCGAGTGGAGGAGTGGGGAATCAAACCCAGTTCTCCCAGATAAGAGTCCGCACACTTCACCATGACACCAAATAGACCTTACAACCGACTAGGAAAAGCAGAATGTATTATGTAAAGAGAGGGCGGTTGTTCAAGTCCCTGGAATGGAATTTGGGCCTGTTCCAAAGCGTGGATTGTTCACAGCCCCTGGTGGTGGTTGGGGGGTGGCGTGAAGAGTCGCCCTCTCTCCGGCCCACTGCCCAGCTTGCTGGTGTCTCTGGCAGTCCGCGTGTGGGTGTAGGGGTGCTAGCCCCTTCCTAGGGCTGGCGAGGGAGGACCTGGAACTCGAAAGGGGGTGGGATGTTGCCCAGGCCGGTGCACTGGGGCGCCAGGTCGATCTCAGCTGGGGCGACCAGCGGCCGGAAGGCGAAGTGCTGCAGGAGGGTGGTGAGGAAGAGGAAGATCTCCATGCGGGCCAGGCCGGCTCCCAGACAGATCCGCTTCCCTGCAGGGGGGAAGAGGAGCAGAGGAGGGCGTGAGCCGGCAAGCCCCGCCCGGGATTCTGTGGCAGTGGCTGGCCCTCCTTCTGGCACGTGCACCCAGAGCCACTTGGCAGGCTGGCAGTCGGGCGAGCGGATGACGCCAGGAAGAAGGTACATCTCTCACGTTTAGAAACAAGCCCCTCCGTACTGACTGCCGAGGGCACCTTTTGCTCATCTTTACTGATGACTCGCAATGCTCCCTCTAAGCTATGGAGCCCCTGTGAGCAAAAATTCTACTTTGTGAGCTGCCACTGGCATTAAAGTTGTGAGCGAGCGATTTGGCTGCTGCATAAGTTAGTTTGCTCTGGAGCCATCCTTCCTGAGCTAAGACAAAAATGTGTGAGCCGGAGGGTAAAAAACTGCGATCTGGCTCACACTCAGCTTAGAGGGTGAACACTGCGTGACGAGGCCAGTGGTCAGACGGCAGACGGAATGCCTCCCAGAAGGCTTCCTTGTGTTTCAGAGTTCTGCCGTGTGTGTGTGTGTGTGTTGCAAGTACTTTACGCTTACTGCTGGGGGCAGGGGGGATTACCTTTCAGCCATGTTTCCCCAGCTTCTGCCAACCTGGGGTGAAGCAAATGCTGGTGTGCCCGGGGTATCTAGATCTTGTTCTATGCGTCCCCCTAATTCACACTTGTGGTGTAACCAAATCACATCACACCTCAGAAGTGAAGCAGGCTCAGTAGTTGGAAAAGGAACCCACCAAGGAAGGCTCTGCAGAGGAAGGCAAGGGCAACCCTCCTCTGCTTCTCCCTTGCCTTGGAAGCCCCTTGCTGGGGTGGCCTTAAGTCGGAAGCTCAGCAGGGTCGGTGCTTGGAAGGGAGACCACCAAGGAAGGCTCTGCAGAGGAAGGCAAGGGCAACCCTCCTCTGCTTCTCCCTTGCCTTGGAAGCCCCTTGCTGGGGTGGCCTTAAGTCGGAAGCTCAGCAGGGTCGGTGCTTGGAAGGGAGACCACCAAGGAAGGCTCTGCAGAGGAAGGCAAGGGCAACCCTCCTCTGCTTCTCCCTTGCCTTGGAAGCCCCTTGCTGGGGTGGCCTTAAGTCGGAAGCTCAGCAGGGTCGGTGCTTGGAAGGGAGACCACCAAGGAAGGCTCTGCAGAGGAAGGCAAGGGCAACCCTCCTCTGCTTCTCCCTTGCCTTGGAAGCCCCTTGCTGGGGTGGCCTTAAGTCGGAAGCTCAGCAGGGTCGGTGCTTGGAAGGGAGACCACCAAGGAAGGCTCTGCAGAGGAAGGCAAGGGCAACCCTCCTCTGCTTCTCCCTTGCCTTGGAAGCCCCTTGCTGGGGTGGCCTTAAGTCGGAAGCTCAGCAGGGTCGGTGCTTGGAAGGGAGACCACCAAGGAAGGCTCTGCAGAGGAAGGCAAGGGCAACCCTCCTCTGCTTCTCCCTTGCCTTGGAAGCCCCTTGCTGGGGTGGCCTTAAGTCGGAAGCTCAGCAGGGTCGGTGCTTGGAAGGGAGACCACCAAGGAAGGCTCTGCAGAGGAAGGCAAGGGCAACCCTCCTCTGCTTCTCCCTTGCCTTGGAAGCCCCTTGCTGGGGTGGCCTTAAGTCGGAAGCTCAGCAGGGTCGGTGCTTGGAAGGGAGACCACCAAGGAAGGCTCTGCAGAGGAAGGCAAGGGCAACCCTCCTCTGCTTCTCCCTTGCCTTGGAAGCCCCTTGCTGGGGTGGCCTTAAGTCGGAAGCTCAGCAGGGTCGGTGCTTGGAAGGGAGACCACCAAGGAAGGCTCTGCAGAGGAAGGCAAGGGCAACCCTCCTCTGCTTCTCCCTTGCCTTGGAAGCCCCTTGCTGGGGTGGCCTTAAGTCGGAAGCTCAGCAGGGTCGGTGCTTGGAAGGGAGACCACCAAGGAAGGCTCTGCAGAGGAAGGCAAGGGCAAACCACCTCTGCTCCTCACTTGCCTTCAAGCCCCTTGGCTGGGGTGGCCATAAATTGGAAGCTATGCTTGCAGCTGCCACTTCACTGCGGGGTGACCTTGGGCCAGTCAAACTCTTTCAGCCTAACCTACCTCACAGGGTTGTGGTGAGGATAAAATGTCAAAGCTCCTGCTTAAGAACATAAGAGAAGCCAATGTTGGATCAGGCCAGTGGCCCATCCAGTCCAACACTCTGTGTCCCACAGTGGCCAAAGATACCAGGGGCCACCAGGAGGTCCAGCAGTGGGGCCAGGACACCAGAAGCCCTCTCCCTGTTGCCCCCCCCACAAACACCAAGAATACAGAGCATCACTTGCCCCAGCCTGAGAGTTCCTATCTGCAAAGGTAAAGGTTCCCTCGCTTGAAAGCCAGTGGAATCCGACTCTAGGGTTGCGGTGCTCATCTCCGTTTCAAAGCCGAAGAGCCAGCGCTGTCTGAAGTTGTTTCCGTGGTCATGTGGCCAGCATGACTAAACACCGAGGCGCATGGAACACTGTTACCTTCCCACCAAAGTGGTACCTATTTATCTACTTGCAATTTATTGCTTTCGAACTGCTAGGCTGGCAGGAGCTGGGGCCAGAGACGGGAGCTCACTCCATCATGCGGCACACTCGGGTCTCGAACTGCTGAACTACCGACCTTCCACAGCCTGCAGTTCAGCGTCTTAACCACTTGAGCCACCGCAGCTCTGTACCTTGTGGCTAACAGCCACTGGGGGACCTCTGCGCCAGATGTTTATCTAATGCTTCTTTCCGTTGCATCCTTTTGGGCTACCTCTCGGTTCTTCCCCCCTTTTCTCACTCGCCTCTGGAGTGTTAACAATGGAAGCCCCTCTTCCCAGTTACGCGTCTGTGTGTGTGTGTGGTGGGGGGTACAGGCTGAAACCCCAGTTCCTTCTTGCAGGTTTGGGATGGGGAATCCCCCTTCCCCCCAAGCGCCATACCTGGGGCAAAGGGCATGAAGGCATCACTGCTTTTGAAGGCGTTCTTTTCGTCCAGGAAGTTGGCTGGGTTGAAGGAATCCGGGTCCTTGAACTGGGACGGGTCGTAGTGCACCGAACTCAGCAGGGGGATCACGTTGGTGCCCTGTTGGTGGCGGGGAGGAGAGACTTGTGGTCATACATTTGAAAGGAATTGAGAGAGAGAGAGAGTGCAGCCAGTAGGGGTCGCAGCTTCCCTCACCCAAAGAAGGAGGTACTCTTCTTGAACCACCTGTGTAATGCCCTACAGAACATTGTTGTGGCCAGCTATTTATCTTCAGAAAAGCAAGAGAGAAAGCGCAACACATTTAGAGCCCGGTGGGGCACCTTTAAGACCAACAAAGGTTTATTCAAGGTAGGAGCTTTTGTGTGCACAGCACACTTTATCCAAGAGAGAAAGGAGACATACTTGTCCCTCAGCACACTGGTAAAGGTAAAGGTTCCCTTGCTCGAAAGCCAGTCGAATCCGACTCTAGGGTTGCAGTGCTCATCTCCGTTTCAAAGCCTAAGAGCCAGCACTGTCTGAAGATGTTTCCGTGGTCATGTGGCCGGCATGACTAAACACTGAGGCGCACGGAACGCTGTTACCTTCCCACCGAAGTGGTACCTATTTATCTACTTGCAATGTCTTGCTTTCGAACTGCTAGGTTGGCAGGAGCTGGAACTAGAGACATGCGGCGCACACAGGTCTCGAACTGCTGAACTACTGACTTTCCACAGCCTGCAGTTCAACGTCTTAACCACTTGAGCCACTGCAGCACACTGGTAGGAACCCACTAAAAAGAACCCTTCTGTCTCTGAAATGCTAGAACAGCGTAAGTCTAGGGTCATGGTGAGCATCTTATGCCCAGCCTGGCTTTGGAACCGGCATGGCCTCAGTTTCCCCAGGAGAGCTGCCTTTGCCTGGAGACTGGGAGTGAGTCCTGGCTGGTTCATTCCGGGAGAATTTCAAGCTACACCGAATTTCAGGCACGTTCGAAGCACGCACAGAGTGAGCATCTTTCTCACACACGTGTGTGGAGAAGAAGAAGAGATTGGATTTATACCCCATGGCCCTTCACTACCCAAAGGTGTCTCAGAGCGGCTTACAAACTCCTTTCCCTTCCCCTCCCCACGACAGACACCCTGTGAGCAGTGTTCCCTCTTAGCTGAGTTAGTGTGAGCTAGCTCACAGTTTCTTAGCCTCCGGCTCACACATTTTTGTCTCAGCTCAGGAAGGATGGCTCCAGAACACACTAATTTATGCAGTAGCCAAATCACCTGCTCACAACTTTAATGCCGGTAGCTCACAAAGTAGAATTTTTGCTCACAGGACTCTACAGTTTAGAGGGAACATTGCCTGTGAGGTAGGCGAAGCCGAGAGAGCTCTCTCTTGGACTGCTCTTGAGAGAACAGCTCCGAGAGAACTTGCGACTGACCCAGTCACCCAGCTGGCGGCATGCGGAGGAGGAGTGGGGGAATCAAACCCGGCTCTCCCAGATTAGAGTCTGCCACCCTCTCTTAACCCCTACACCAAACTGGGAACCGAGGCGCAGAAGGCTGGCCCTGCCACTGTCGTACCTTGGGAAGCAGGAAGTCCCGGAAGGGCGTGTCCCGCGTGACGGCACGGGGCAGCCCCATGGGCAAGATGGAGATGAAGCGCTGGATCTCATAGATGACGGCATCCGTGTACGGCATGAGCTTGCGGTCTGCCAGGCAGGGGGCGCGTTCGTGCCCGATCACTTGGTCGATCTCCTGGTGGACTTGCGCTGCAGACAGACAGACAGATAGGAGGCAGTGAATGTGGATGGTGGGGGGGAGAGAGGGAGACGGTGGACTAATGCCTGGTTACCAACCTCCAGGTGGGTCCTGGAGCCCTCCTGGAATGACAGCTGAGCGACAGAGACCAGCCCCCCTGGAGTTAATGGGCTGCATCACATCCCTGCTTAGCCCCCCCCCCCCCCCCGAAGCTGCCCTTCCCAGGCATGAAACAAAAATTACAAGAACTTTGCCAACCTGGAGTTGGGAACCCTATCTAATAGCCTGCAAGGCCCTTTCTGTCTTCAAGAGCTCTCCAGTTGTGGGTGGCAGGGGTGGTGGTGATCTAAGTGAGTGGGGGGGGGCCCAAACCGGGTCCCAGAAGGGCTGACTGATGATGAAGAAGAAGTGACTGGATTTATACCCCGCCCTTCACTACCCGTAGGAGTCTCAGAGCGGCTTACAGTCTCCTTTCCCTCCCCCTCCCCACAACAGACACCCTGTGAGGTAGGTGGGGCTGAGAGAGCTCTCCTGAGGACTGGCCTGGAGAGAACAGCTCTGAGAGAACTTGTGGCTGACCCAAGGTTACTCCAGCAGCTGCATGTGGAGGAGGAGTGGGGAATCAAACCTAGTTATTCCCAAGGTGGGTCGTCGTGTTGGTCTGAAGCAATAAACAAAGTTTGAGTCCAATGGCACCTTTAAGACCAACAAACACAAACACGAAACACAACAAACACAACACGAAAGCTCACACCTTGAATAAAACTTTGTTGGTCTTAAAGGTGCCACTGGACTCAAACTTTGTTCTGGTTATCCCAAATTAGAGTCTGTGCTCCTGACCACCACACCAAACGACACCCCTGCAGTCCCAGAGCTCGCATTGGAAAAGCAATTGCTTGCACAGAGTTTGTGCTTAGACTCTTAATTCACACAGGACTCCGTGGTGGTGGTGGGGTGACGGACCAGGGGACCGCGACCCTCACTTCCCACCGGGGAGAATGAAACTGAGCCGGGGGGGGGGCATGCAGGGGCTCACCTGCCACTTCGGGGTACTTCATGAGGATCAGGAAGCTGTACCGCAGGGTGGTGCTGGTGGTCTCGGTGCCCCCGAAGAACAGGTTGTGGGTGGTCATCACCAGCGTCTCCGTGTGGAAATGGCTCAGCGGGTCTTGCTTCTCCTGCAAAACAGGGCGACAGTGGAGGCCACCCGGAAGGGAAGGCTCCCCCCCCCCAATCTCTGTTCTGAGCTGGGCTGGTGCCATTTTGGCCCCCCCCCCCCCCCCGCTGAGCATGTGGGGCAGGGAGTTGCTGGCCATCACCCCCCCCTGCAGATACCTCAGGTCATTCTCACTTTCCAGTTTGGCGTTGTGGTTAAGCGCGCGGACTCTAATCTCGGAGAACTGGGTTTGATTCCCCACGCCTACACTTGCACCTGCTGGATGACCTTGGGTCAGTCACAAGTTCTTTCAGAGCTGTTCTTGAAAAAGAGCAGTTTCTGTCAGAGCTCTCTCAGCCTCACCCACCTCACAGGGTGTCTGTTGTGGGGAGGGGAAGGGAAAGGAGATTTTAAGCCGCTCTGAGACTTCCATTGGTAGTGAAGGGCGGGGTATAAATCCAGTCTCCTCCTCCTCCTCCTCCTCCTCTTCTTCTTTCCAAATTCCTGACAGTTCCCCAGCTTCTCTTCCTCCCCAGGCAAGGTGGGGGGGGGGTTTCAAGAAGAAGAAGAAGAGAAGAGATTGGATTTATCCCCCGCCCTTCACTTGGAGTCTCAGAGCAGCTTACAAACGCCTTTCCCTCCCCCTCCCCACAACTGACACCCTGTGAGGTGGGTGGGGCTGAGAGAACTCTGACACAAACTGCTCTTTTTCAAGGACAGCTGTGCCAGAGCTTGTGACTGACCCAAGGTCACATCAGCAGGTGCAAGTGGAGGAGTGGGGAATCAAACCCGGTTCTCCCAGATTAGAGTCCGCACACTTAACCACTACACCAAACTGCTGCCGTGCCCTCCCCTGCCCCATTCAGAGCTACCAGCCGTCTCTGTGCCATTTTTAAGTGGCCCCTTTAGGGAACTGTGAGTCCTTCAACTGACAAGGGACTCTGTCTGCCAGGCAGTATATATTGAGGTTAACACGGAGTTTCAGCTAAGGCAAAACACTCAGTGTCGTGATACCAATTGGGTTTGTTGGCAGCTGAACTGAACCTCTGGCAAGGGTGGGATAAAAAACATTTTAAAATCAACCAGGGTGACGCTGCCACTAACCGCCTGGAGCAGAAACAGGAGAGGGGAAGATGGACTTCCAAATCCGTCACTAAACCAGGGGCCCCGCGCCTGAGGGTCCCTCCCGTGGGTGCCTTTCAAATACCTGTTCCATGCGGATCAGGAAGCAGTCGATGAAGTCTCGCGGGTCGCTGGGATCGATGCTCTCTTGGTGCCTGCGAACACGCTCAGCTATAAACTGCCGCAGTTTCTCGAAGTTGCGGAAGATTTGCTGGTGGGGCCCCGGCAGGAGGTCCATGAACCGGGGGAAGATGTTGTAGAGCTGGACAAAGGGGTGCAACCAGCAGGTATTCTTTTGTTCCAAAAGCCCCCCCCAGATTTTCATACATACACACACCTCACCCCGACATTTTCTTGTTCCTGATTAATGGATCCTTTTGAGCAATTAATTAGTTAATTAAAGTCAAGGAAAGGGTACATAATGAAAGATGAGTGACAGGAAGATTCTAAGAAGGCAGCTCCAGAAGCCAGAGAGAGAGGAAAATTGGGAAAGAATCAGGAAAAGGCAGAAGTTTTGTCCTGGTTTCATTCTGGTGTAGTGGCACGGCATGCCTTAAGAGTTCATTAGTCTGTTTCATTACGTTCTATTAAAAATTGCCACCCACAAAGTCTCTTCCCCCAGTATGAAGACTCTGTCAAACCCTTTCTCCCTTTCTCACAATACAAGAACTCATGGGCACCCAATGAAATTGCTGAGCAGTCGGGTTAGAACGGATAAAAGGAAGTCCTTCACCCAGAGAGAGATGAACAGGTGGAATTCTCTGCCACATGAGGTGGTTGCAGCTACAAGCATGGACGGCTTCAAAAGGGAATTGGATAAACATATGGAGCAGAGGTCCATCAGTGGCTATTAGCCACAAAGCATAGATAGGAACTCTCAGTCTGGGGCAAGTGATGCTCTGTCTTCTTGGTGCTTGGGGGGGGGCAACAGTGGGAGGGCTTCTAGTGTCCTGGCCCCACTGGTGGACCTCCTGAGGGCACCTGGTATTTTTGGCCACTGCGTGACACAGAGTGTTGGACTGGATGGTCCATTGGCCTGATCCAGCATTGGCATCTCTTATGTTCTGAACCCAAATCTTGACATGCACTTGGCCAGAGCTCCTCATCTGGATCCTTTGCTAAGTCCAGGTAGGTCTGAAGCAGTAGACCAAATTTAGAGTCCGGTGGCACTGTTAAGACGAAGAAAGGTTTATTCAAGGTATGAGCTTTTGTGTGTGTGTGCACACTTTTCCAAATACAAGTTAAGTACCTGCTTAAGTGTATAAGTACCTTCTAACCTTGTTAGTTTTTCACTTTGCATGACTTAAACATCGTCATGTTACATGTTAATTGGCTGTTAAGTCCCGGTCTATAAGTGTAGAACCTCATCTGCCTTTCCAATGTATTTGAAAAAGTGTGCTTTGCACACACAAAAGCTCATACCTTGAATAAACCTTTGTTGGTCTTAAAGGTGCCTGACTGGACTCTAAAGTGGACCCTTTGCTGTTCTGGGTTCCGTGGGGGCGGAGTAGGGGAGGGGTGTGTGTCACCAAACACATCACTCAAAGCCGCCCGTGAAGTCTGGGCCAGGGAACTAAATGGAATTCCGCGCCCAACCCGACACTTTTGCTCTCCACGCAAAAGCTCTCTCCCGACCGTGCACGGACCCTCCTCACCTCCCAGCACAGACCACCCTTTACAGCCCCCCTCCCTGTCCCCCCCCACCACTGCTCACCTCCCCCCAAAATGAGCTCATGATCTTGAAGTTTTCGTTGAAGTGGTCCAGCAGGGTGAGGAAGTCGGCGTCTTCGTAGTCAAAGCGGTTGCCGAAAACCACGGAGCAGATGACGTTGGAGACGGCGCGGCAGACGAGGTTGATGGGGTTGAAGGGAGCCCCTGTACGGAGAGGGAGGAGAGGCGGGCGATGCTGGGGTGGGGGTGGGGCCAAGGACTGCAGGGGCCACCACCGGTGAGGCTGAGGCTGGCTCCTCTGGGATCATCTGCTTCTCTTTGTGTGTCCCCCCCCCACGAATGTTACCGCCTGGTGTGATGCAATCACAGGGGCCAATCCTGCCTTCCCTTCATGGCTGCCACCCTCCCAGACAGGGTGGGGGTTCTCCAGAAGGAGAGAGATCCTGGCAGGTGAACCTTCTCTGGCCAAAGAGAGGCGGCACTCAGGGGTCGTTTCCTGCAGGAGCACACAGGAGCAGAGCTCCGGCAGTAAAGAGCCCAAGGGGGCAGGCACATGCCACAAGCCCCACCCCCTGCTCCCAGCAGCCCTCAGTCAGAGCAAGAAGCAGCCAGGTAAGTTGCAGAGCCCCGGCCCCCGGGTCCAAAACAGTCCAGTGGCACCTTTAAGACCAAGTTTTATTCAGGTACAAGCTCTCCCTCCTCTGTGAGGACAGATCTGCACGTTCCCCCCCCCCCATAGCTAGCCATCCAAAACAGTCCAGGTGAGCCTGAGCGGTGGGCGTTGCCTTCTGACACACTTCCGGTGATGTCAGGGGGTGTGGCATGTGCAAATAAGTCATGCCAATGAGTTATGCTAATGAGCTCCTGCACCTTTTTTTCTACGAAATGAGCCCTGAGCGGCACGCACCCCAACCCATCCTGCTCTCTCGTAGTGATGGCCGGGAGTCCACCCCTGACGTCAGGCCAGGTCCCTACCGTTGAAAATATGTGAGGTGCAGGGCCGGGATTTCAGCCATTATAGGGTTAATCTGCTCTACCTAGTGTACTATTGTTTAGACTGACCTGGAAAGGAAACTTGGCTCAGAGCCAATGGGGAGATACCCCGGGAAAAATCTAAGTCTGTTTACTACGTAGCAATCATCGGTTACTGTGTTCAGGTGACTTCCTTCTAGGGGTCAAGAAGAAGCAGAATCTCCATTGTTGTGTGACCATGTGGTCTGTAGCGGTAAAGATGTGAAAATGTAGCTCTAGATATCGCTGTTGTTTTGTAGTCTCCCAGTGAACCCTTCCCTTAGAAATAAAGCTTTTTTTCCATAGAAAGAAATGTCTCCTCTCCAGTGAAGGAAAGATCTATTGCAAACTCTTGAGTATTTAAGTATTTTTGCCTGTTTCCCCAACACCTACCTCCGGTTTTCCGGAACTCTCGCACGAGGCACTGGGCCTCCTCTTGGATCCGCTCCTCAACGCTGCTTCTTCCCATCCCGAAATTCTTCAGCGTCTGCAGGGCAAAGCGCCGCAGCACCTTCCACTTGTCCCCATTGGAGAAGGCGATGCCTGCAGGGAGAGGAGGGAGGGAGGGAGGGAGGGGCTGACCAGCAAGGCTCCCTCTAAGCTGTGGAGTCTTGTGAGCAAAAATTCTACTTTGTGAGCTGCCGCTGGCATTAAAACTGTAAACCAGCGATTTGGCTGCTGCATAAATCACTTTGCTCAGGAGCCCCATCCTTCCTGAGCCAAGACAAAAATGTGTGAGCCGGAGGCTAAAAAACTGAGCTAGCTCACACTAACTCAGCTTAGAGGGAACACTGCTTACCTTCTGCAGCACGGAGGACTTGCGCTTCTTCCTTTCATAACGTTTCTGCCCAAGGACATTCAAGGTGATGTGCCGTCCCATACCTAAAACCTCCCTGACAAGATCCCTGCGATGGCCTTATCACGAGGCTCAGGGCCCAATCCACCATGGTGCTGTTCTACAGTTTTAGTCCATTTCAATTTGGTGTAGTGGTTAAGTGCGCGGACTCTACTCTGGGAGAACCGGGTTTGATCCCCCACTCCTCCACTTGCAGCCAGCTAGGTGACCTTGGGTCAGTCACCAGTTCTCTCAGAGCTGTTCTCTCAAGGGCAGTCCTCGAAAGAGCCCTCTCAGCCCCACCCACCTCACAGTGTGCCTGTTGTGGGGAGGGGGAGGGAAAGGAGTTTGTCAGCCGCTCTAAGACTCCGAGTGAAGGGCGGGGTATAAATCCAATCTCTTCTTCTCCTCAATGGTGCTTGTATTGGGGAACTTCCTGGTGGACGGTGCCCACATTAATCCTTACTTTTATTTATTTACTTTATTTATATCTCACCCATCTCCTCGCTGGGACCCAAACGTAGCTTATGTCATTTGCCTCTCCTCTGTTTTATACTCACAACAACAACCCTGTGAGGCAGGTGAGGCTGAGAGTGTGACTGGCCCAAGGTCACCCAGCGGGCTTCCACGCCAGAGCGTGGATTCCAACCTGGGTCTGCCAGCTCCTAGTCCAAAACTGTAGCCACTAGACCACACTGTCTCTCAATTCATGAGTGTTGCAGGGCTGTACTGCAAGCCCCGGTTCTGCCCTTGAGCAACACCCCCCCCCATGTCGATGCCGCCGTTGCAGCCGGCAGGGCTTTGGGGTGGGGGCAGCCCTCCAACACTCCCTCTAAGTCTAAGCTGTAGAGTCTTGTGAGCAAAACTTTGTGAGCTACGGGCATTCAAGTTGTGAGTGATTTGGCTGCTGCGGAAATCGGTTTGCTCTGGAGCCCTCCTCCCTGAGCGGAGACAAAAATGTGTGAGCCAGAGGCTAAAAAGCTGTGAGCTAGCTCACACTAACTCAGCTTGGAGGGAACACGGCAGCCCTCTTACCGTTGCCCTGAGTGAAGCGGTAGAAGACGGGGAACTCTCCCCGGTCGCTGAAGTCGTCGGCTTGGTCCACCAGGGCTTCCTTCACCGCTTGGTAACCGCAGAGGACCACGCAAGGCAGCGAGCCGAGGTGGATGGTGTAGACCGGGCCGTACTTCTGGCTGAGCTGGGTGGAGGAGGGAGACTCGGTGTTAGTCGGGCAAGCACCGCTTGCAGAGTTGTGCCAGTTTTCTTTAAGAAATCTTACTTTAGCAGAGCGAAAACTATGGGCGTGATGTTAGAATGGATAAAAGGAAGTCCTTCTTCACCCAAAGAGTGATGAACGCATAGAATTCACTGCCGTGGGAGGACGGCTTCAAGAGGGAACTGGATAAGCATATGGAGCAGAGGTCCATCAGTGGCTATTAGCCACAAGGTACAGATATAGATAGGTACCACTTTGGTGGGAAGGTAACAGCGTTCCATGCACCTTGGCGTGTAGTCATGCTGGCCACATGACCACAGGAACGTCTTTGGACAGCACTGGCTCTTTGGCTTAGAAACAGAGATGAGCACCACATCCCTAGAGTCGGATTCAACTGGCTTTCAAGCAAGGGAAACCTTTACCTTTACCTATAGATAGGAACTCTCGGTCTGGGCCAAGGGATGCTCTGTATTCTTGGTGCTTGTGGGGGGCAAGAGTGGGAGGGCTTCTAGTGTCTCGGCCCCACTGCTGGACCTCCTGATGGCGCCTGGGATTTTTGTCCACTGTGTGAGACAGAATGTTGGACTGGATGGGCCATTGGCCTGATCCAATATTGGCTTCTCTTATGTCCTTATGTTAAGCCCTATGCTCATTGAAGCCAGTGAATGAAGCGCAGCTTTCAGAAAATAGAGATTGAACAGTCGTGGAATAAAGGAACCTATATCTGGAAGGGATTTCCCCACCTTTGTGACATTTCATTCCCTCCAAATAAGAACAAAGAGGCATTCACTCGTCAAAAAAGGGAGATAATTTAGAACCTGAATCTGTGGGGAAAAGGGAGCAGGGCTGGGAAGCGGCTCTGAATCGGTGCGCCAGTCCAGAGTTCTGTTTGAAAACAAGGCCTTTGTAAACAGTGGCCCAGCCTGGCGTGGGACTGTGGAGGGGGCTTTTTCTATTGCCCCCCCTCCGTTTCCCTGGCCTGACATGGCCCTGTGGAGCTGCAGCTTGCTCTACTGGGGTAAGGATCCAGACCATGTGCAGAAGGCCGTCAGCTCCTCCTTGGGGACTGAAGAAAAAACCGCAGGCACTCGAGTTCCCAGCTCTGGGTTGGGAAATCCCTGGAGATTTTTTTTTGGGGGGAGGGGAGACTGGAGGGGTTTTGGGTGGGGGAGAGACCCCAGTGGGGTAGACTGCCACACAGTGCGCCTTCCAAAGAGGCCGTCTCCTCCAGGGGGACTGATCTTCGTCATCTGGAGGTGAGCGGCCAAAGCAGGAGATCTCCAGTCGCTGGACTCGTAAGGAGAAACAACCGCGATATAATAACGAAACCGACGAGTTTGGGGGGGAAATATATCTCCTTTAATCTCCTTTGAAGTGAACTGGGTCTCCAGTTTTCCTTAAACTGGTCTCACGTTTTTCTTGACGGTAGAGCGCTCCGTAGACCATCTCACCTGGTGTTTCATCAGATGAGACCATTTTGTATTTTTTGCTCTCTCTCCCTTTTGTGATTTACATCGTTTCCGTCATCTTGCTATGTGAAAAGCCGCTGCGTGCTGCCCTCTAAAATTCTTTCAAGAACGCTTGAAAGCAGTCTATGGAGCGCTATACCGTCAAGGAAAACTTGAGACCAGTTTAAGAAAAACCTGAGACCGATTCGCTTCAAAGAAAATTAAAGAAGATATACTTTCCCCAACTAGGAGCTGCGGTGGATCAAGTGGTTAAGACGCTGAACTGCAGGCTGTGGAAGGTCGGTAGTTCAGCAGTTCGAGACCCGAGTGTGCCGCATGACGGAGTGAGCTCCCGTCTCTAGTTCCAGCTCCTGCTAACCGAGCAGTTGGAAAGCAAGAAATTGCAAGTAGATAAATAGGGACCACTTCGGTGGGAAGGTCACAGCGTTCCGTGTGCCTTGGTGTTTAGTCATGCCGGCCACATGACCATGGAAACATCTTCAGACAGCGCTGGCTCTTCGGCTTTGAAACGGAGATGAGCACCGCAACCCTAGAGTCGGATTTGACTGGCTTTCGAGCAAGGGAACCTTTACCTTTTTACTTTCCTCAAACTAGGCTTCGTTATCATATCACAGTTGTTTTTCCTTACTAGTTCAGCACTACCTGGAGGTTTGGCAACCCTAGCCAGGCTCCAGCTGACTTAATAAAACCTACAAAGAGGGAGCCATGAAAACCTGGCCGAGCAAAACGAACATGTGTTTCAATGTGAGCTTCTGCAAGATGCCGCTCACGCCGTTGGTGTAGCGGTTATGAACGCAGACGCTAATCTGGGACAACCGGGTTTGATTCCCCACTCCTCCATGTGCAGCTGCTGGAGTGACCTTGGGTCAGTCACAAGTTATCTCAGAGCTGTTCTCTCAGGAGCAGTCCTCAGTCAGAACTCTCCCAGCCCCACCTACCTCCCAGGGTGCCTGTTGTGGGGAGGGGGAGGGAAAGGAGATTGTAAGCCCCTCTGAGACTCCGAGAGGAGGGCGGGGTATAAATCCAACCTCCTCCTCCTCCTCTTCTGCTTCTTTTTCTTCATTAAGGGATCTTGGGGAGGGGGTGTGCGACCTTTCCCCCTCTTTAGTTATGAACCAACCTCCGCTGTAGTCAGGGCCGGCTCACACACTAGGCGATCTAGGCGATTGCCTAGAGCGGGACGGCCCTTAGGGGCACCAAACTGCACCCGGCCCCTTACTCTGGGAGTTTCTTGATTATTTGTGTTTTTCATTCTTCCTAAAATGCATTTATTTTTGAAAATTGGTGGGGGCACCGGGGGGGGGGCAGAAGGGATCCTCGCCTAGGGTGCAAAATAAGCTGCAGCCGGCCCTGCCTGGGAGCTGCCCTGTC